GTTTTCACGTGCGAGAGAAACTCAGCTTTAAATTAGAACCTATAATTAATTTTTTCTTTATTTTGTATTTTATTTTTGTATTTCAATATGTAATACGACGTACGTACATATGTTTTAATATTCTTTTTCAATTTCGTAACATTATCATCATTATTGAGTTATCCTATGATTGATTTGTACAATTTGTGCTTTAATTTCAACTTCCAATTTATGTATGTGAATGGCTCCGTCAGTTTGTCCAGATTATCACACCTAAAATGTAGATAAGTTGTATATAAATGTTTGTATGTATTTATATACAGATTTTCGGTAACTATTTTCCTCCATTTACTATTGGTTTGAAAACAAGTTCCATTTATATATTTTTTTTGTTTGTGTACGTATGCATGTACTGTGAGTTAATAATTTTATTTAATGTATAAGCCATTTTAGAAAAATATTTCTTTTCATTTTCATTATTGTTAAAAATAAATCATTTTCTGTTCCGTTCTGCTCTTTTTTTTTCTCATTTTGTTTAGGAATTTACAGTAGACTTTAGTTATGAATGTATCTCAGCTTTCTTTCATAGGGACATTTTGCTTCTATTGATTTCGGTACAATACCATTTTTGTTTTTTTATTTTTATAAATTTACAATTTTTTAACGATTCATTTGTACCTTATATTGATTAGTACTCTGGATTTTGTTGTATGGCGGGTAAGCTCATTAGAAAAGAATACGAAAGATTGATTTGGATTTTATTTTTTTAAGTTGAGAAACCATTTTGAGAACCAAATGTCAGAGTTTTTATAGTTGCTTCCTGGATGTATCACAAATGTTGGAGTGTGTGTGTGTGGGTGTAAGTGTTGTAATGAAATAAAGTGTTAAAATAATAAAAACAACCTTGGTTAAACATATTATTAATACATTTTTAATTTTTTCTCAAAAATGTATGGATTTTACTTTGCCACAATCTTTTTTTGGTCATCATATGTGATCCAATATGTAGAACAGTCAATTAGGTTATGTTAGACATGAAAGATACACAACTGAGTTCGTGTCCTATTGTCATAAAACCAAAACTTGGCTGACTCCTAAAACGTATAAGCACAATTGCAAACCGAACAGTGTTACTTTGTAAACCGATGTGAAATTCTCTGTAAATGTCAGCATTATGGAATTGTATAATAATCAAGGCCCATTTTTAGGTCGTGTAAAGGGCGAATTGACTTAAAATCAGCTGTTTTACTCCTCGAACTGTCGAAATTTCTTCTGAAGCAAATAATAATTCGCTTTTCTAAATCTCTTTGTTGTGGCGAGTTTGTAAACATCTAAGAGAAAAACAAAACAAAGCACACCACACAAAGCACATGAGCATAGAAATATCACAAAATTTATATTGTTAATGCAAGTAAAACCAGTCTGTAAACACAAAAGTTCTTCAAAAGAGAGTGACTCAAAAGAGAAATATTGAAAGTTCCTTTACTGACAGTTTGAAAATTTATTGCTGGAAATATTTTTCTTGCAATCATTTGCAACGCTTATCTTCTCCTTTCGGCGATTTATGTTTAAAACATCTTTATTATGAAAATCGCAAGCATAATTGTTTTGTTTTCGGGTAATTTTTACTTTGCCGTGCTTCATTTCTTTTTTTTATGGCTTACAGATTAGCTTATTGCTTGCAAGTTTACTTTTTACAGTTTTCTTGCAAAAGAAAATAAAAAACACTCAGAAAGAAACTGCTTGACAATTCCTGCAGGAAAAGTAAACAGACAGATCTATTGTATGATGACAGCTTGTCATTTTTTACGGCGAATTTCAAATATAAACAAATGTATTTTAACAGAATGGGTGAAATCAACTGGGCTAATCAGACAACCTATTTAATGGTTCTTGATAATAATCATATACCAAGGTAGATGTTTCAACAACAAAGCTACCTTTGCTGTATCATTAAATGTCAGAATTGGTACCGAAGGCAAAAAAAAAACAACAAAAATATGTTCGCTTTGACATTTTAAAATAACTCCTGGGGAGAATATCCCAGACAAAAAACAAGGGAACAGATGAAGATTGGTGGCTCTTTTCGAAACCTAGGTACTCCCTGCCTTACGCCCTGGTAAACATTGCCATCGTTCTCCACTATAAACAAACGTTATTTTTATAAAAACAACAATAATGGGATTAAGCCTGACCATTTTGCAGCAACAAAATTTGCGGCAAATTTTAAATTTAATCAGAAACAGGATGTTTGTTTTACCTTTTTGTGTATATCTCATCTTAGTCGAACATACTTATTCATTTGCAGATAAATAAAATAAATACAATATTTTTATATTTTAAACCTCTGCATGGGATTGCATCAAAAACGTTGAAAAATCAACTTATTTTTACAGAAGTTTTTGAAAATTTTTAAAATTTTGATGATATCCTGCATCTACCTGCATTCTTCTACTATGGCTTTAATTTAGGGCGAATTCAACTTTACAACAATTTGTTTTGACATTTGATGGGGGCAATACATGGTAGAAGAATATAGGTAGACGATTCGACGCAGCTGCTGGGACAATGAACTGTCAAACCAATTTTGGAATTAAAAATGTTGAATGAAAAATTATTTAAATTTGTAAAAAATGTTGAAAAATGCATATCTTTACAACCCACGTTTTGCGTCGTATACAAAAACATATAAAAATCTACTTATATTTGAAAAGAAATTTAAAAATTTTTGACATATCAATGCTCCCAAGCGTTGATGCATCTACCTGTATTTTTCTACCATGGGGGCAATAGCTGGGTCGATGCGATTATCTAATAGATCTGCCTTGAAATTTACGTTGTGTAACACGATTCGTATACCGCGTTTACATGCTCTTTTTATTTGTCTAATTTCACATTGAGACATATATCGTGATAAGAGGAGCCTACCATAATTGTGTTTGTTGTACAAATTATTACAAAATGTTATTCGATAACATAAAAGTGCAATCAAAAAGTAAGAAAAGAGAGCAATTTTGACAAGTGAGTTACTGAGAGTTTGAAAAGTCCTACTGGAAAAATGTACTCTGTTAACATCAGCTGATTGAAAAACATTTGATTTGTGGCCGATGCAAAATTTTTGAAAATTCAGACAATAATATAATTATTTTTCAGGTAATAAACATTAAATTATCATTTTGTTTTGGTTTAAAAGTGTTACGCATACATTTTGCGAAACCGCTGTTCTGTTTAAGAAATATCTAAAGAAGTATCTCAATTCTTGATGTAATAAAACGTGATATGAAAACTTTATAATGCAAACATATGTGTGCTGAATGGCAAATTTTATATTATTTTTTTTATTTAATTCATTGAAATTTCCATTCGATTTCCATTTTGCATTTTCATTAAACCGGAATTCTGACCATGCCTTGGAAAAATTTTAACTTCTGAAACACATTAACATTCGATTAACATTCCAAATGATAAGTCAGAAAAATGAAATGCCCAATGGAACCACATATGATTTGTTCCAGAACCTGCAAGAATCTACTAGTTTTGCAATTTTTCCCGATATCATAAAGGAAAAATCGGTAAAAGCTTTTACATTCTTGCAGTTCTGGAACAGAACAATACATATCCACAATAACATGTTTTGATAAAAACGAAATATTCAGTTTTAAATTATAACAAACTTAACCACCGAAATGAAGAACAAAAAATAAAAACACAAGATTTAGGTTTCTTTGTAATTATAAATAACAATTGTATATTTTTCTTTAAAATAAGATAAATTGTTTATTTTGCATATAGAGTGATAATGTAAGATAAACATTAGAAAGATCATTACAACTTGTTTGTTAAATAATAATAATAAAAAAACCATCATAATGGGGGGAAGTTCAGGCATGTGATTTTGCCCTGACAGATGTGTATTGTAAATTTGTTTATTTTGTTCTTGATTCGTATTTGTTGTTGCTTCAATTATGCTATTGGTGTCATACAATTTCAAGAATTTATAGGATTGTTATGAGCACAAAGTGTCAATTTAAAAATGTTGATACAAACAAATAAAAGGATTGGCTTAAAATTAGAAAAAAAAAAACTCGAATAAATTTAATTTTCATAAAAATATCACTTAAATTATAAAAAAAATCGATAAAAATAAATTTTATTATAAAACGACAAAAAATCTTTTCTTTAAATTTTTTGGAAAACAAATCATTTAAAATAATGGCCACTATCACGAATTTCATTCAAATCACGGGTAAAACAATAATAATTTGTTGACGATCGACCAAAAGATTGTATTGTTCTCCTTCAACACAAAAAAAAAAAAAAAACATATATAAAAAACAATTTAAATATTTAACATTACAATTTGGAAAACGTCAAAAGTTCAAACAAGAAGAAACCAATTAATTGGCTTTTAGGCACATGAAATGGAGGAGATATATTCAAGATAACACAATTCGATTACTGGAGGACATTGAACAAAATTCACAATAGTTGCACTTGATATGACAACAAATAATATGCCACAGTAGACGACGATAAGCAGGCCAGCAATTCAAATTGAGGTTGGTCCTCTCATACGATCAGTGTGATCGCTGATAAGATAATGGGGATGCACTGCTTACGCTAAGGCTTTTTTAAAATTTATTCTCCAAATGCTTAATGTGAAGGAGATTGTTTTTTTTTTTTTTTTTTGTAATAAAATAAAAGTATTGCATTTGTTTAGAGCTCTCGATGTTTTGATTGGACATTGGGCATGAGGTTATGAAAAATGTAAGGTTACAATTAATACAATGTTTTAGTCAGTGTACCAGAGTTGCAATATCAGAGTGTATTTTTTTATATGCCTGATGCGTCGAGGCATTTCTTTTCTAATTAATGTTCGATTTTATTCTGTACTACTTTTTTTCTATTATGTTGTGTGGCGGTTAATATACGATCTACATATGTGCTTGGTTTTTCATTACTTTTGTATGGATAGAAATATATGTGGGAGCGGGAGTGGGTGGGGTTTTTGTAGGTCTGTGTTTTGATTTTGTTTTTGTTTTTTTTTTTTTTTTTTTTGTTTCTTTTTGTCACTTTACTTTATACAGACTGTTCAAAGTTATTTGAAGATTTATTTAGCTACAATTCAAATATTAGAATTTAACAATTCTTATTTGTTTTAATTTCCATTTTTAATGTAATTGTGATATTTGTAATACTTAACATTTTATATGCATGCTGTTTGTTTCCCGCTCTTAGCAAATTTACAATGTAAACGGTTTTAAATTAAATGTTTTGCGTTTTTCATTCATTTATCGCTACATATTTGTATTTGTAAATATTTATTTATGTATGTATGTGTATGTAGACATATTTGATTTTAGTAAAATTGATCTAGGATTATTTTGTTTGTTTGTTTTAAATATTGGTATTGTGTTTATGGATTTATTTCATTTATTATTTTCATTTACTTAGTGTGTATTTTTATTTTTATTTTCATTTCTCATTTTCATCTTTTTTCTTGGGTCTGCTTATGCAAGTGCTCATTTCATTTAAATTTAAAACAATAATTGTTGTATTAATAATTAGAATAATAATAGTGGTAATAAAAGTAAAATTTTAATTAATTAATTGTGTTTGTTGTTGTTGTTGTAATTGTATTTCGAACTCTTACGAAACTAATGAAAAATTGTCTAAAACTTATAAGATAAATTCATATAAAATAATTTAATTATATATTGTATGTGTGTATGGGTGTAAACAAAATTAAACATTTGATTAAAACTAAACTAATAAAAATAAAAAATAAAAACAAAACAAAAAAGAAAAACAAAAAAGTTGTATATAAAATATATTTTTGATATAATTAAAATAAGACAAAAAAGATACAAGTATTTATGTCTGGGTTACATATGTACAATCTTGAACATACATTATTCAGCCATAATTAACTTTTATGTATAATAAATAATAAGAAAAACGCTTTCAAAAGAAAATATTGAAGAAAACTGTTTTTGTTTCAGAATTTCAATAATAATTGCAATAAAATAAAGAAACAACCAAACAACAGTAAACGATTCGATAAAAACCCTGTTTTTAGAACCTTACCTCGTTTCGGAAATAGTGACGGTAAATGTGTATGCTTCCTTTAGAAGCCACAATACTTTGTTAATAATTCTCATAAAATATAGGCCAACAACTTGTACTTTTTTCACCGCAGACATATTCAGACACATGAATATGTTTTCCCCATACACGGAGTAAGAGAATGGCTTCATCATTATTCCCAAACAACCAATCTTTCTTCACATTTTAAAGGCGGAGAAACGTCTAATCCAATGGTAAATTTGAATTTGAAAAGAATTCTTAAATTTTTTAAGTACATACAAATGAACTATACATCGCTATTGATGACGGCCAATTAGATTAGTTGGCGATTCATTGGAATTCATAAAGGAACCATTCCATTCAGTATTAAATTTGATCAGTTCAATATTTCGTTTTTTTTTTTTTTTCTTAAGCAAATTGCTCATGAGATCTCAATCTCTGGTGAAAAAAACTGTATTAAACAAATCAATCTTAAGCTAAATAACATCTAACACATACTTTTTTCTTTACGTTTTTTAGCTCGCTGTTCCGGCCAACAATTTACTGGCAGTTACAAATTGATGGCATGTTGGGCTGGCTAAACTGAAGCTTATCCGGCACGAAGTAAATACTATTTCCAAATTAATCTGGATAGTTGGCAAAGAACACAATTTCTGTAACATGAAATAAAGGTGTGAACATAGACCTTAAAGGGCTTTTATCTGTGCCAGCTGGAGGAAATGTTTTCTTATTTTGGGAAACCCCGGAAGTTATTTAACACTGCAATAAAACAATTTGTTGTTGCGGTTGCGTTGTTGTTACTATTGTATCGTTGCCGTCGGCCATTACATGAGATGTTGATTTCAAAAAGAGTTGATTTGATGGCTGCTGTTGCTGCTGCTGCTGTTGTTGTATTGCACCGAATTGTGGCTGGCTTATGACAGTCAGAGTTGCATTTGCCGATAATAGATGTTGCATTTGATTATCACCAATGATGTTGTTGTTGTTGGATTTAAAGGTATTATTACTGCTGTTCTTAGGTTTAACAATAACAGATGTTGCAACGGCGCCGCACAGTTTAGCATCGGTTATTGTCGTATTCGATGCAGATTTGTTGTTGCTGCTGCCACTGTTGTTGTGAAGAACAATTGTTGCCGCATTATTGGTGACATTGTTGTTTTTCTTTGATTGTTTGCTTGCTAGATGCTTGAGAGAGGGCGATGTGGGGGCTGGACGTTTTGTTGGGGTCTTTGCTGAGGCGTTCGCTTTTGTCATTGTTGTGTGGGTATTGGTGGTGTTAATCGAAGATGTCAAATGTCTTGAAGAGGAAGCGGCAGCTGGCGTTGATGATGATATTGAAAGAAACGGTGGCGCTGGTGGTGCTAATGGCGATGTTGAAGCTGTCAGTGGCGTTGCTGCAATTGTTACTGTTGTTTGATTAATGCTTGTCGGCATCGACGATGTATTCTCAGTCAAATTTGTTGTTGGTGGTGGTGTTGGTGTTGATGGTAATAATGATGACATTGTAGTTGTGGTGGTGGTGCTGTTGGTGGTGGTGGTTGTTGTCGTCGTCGTTGTCATTTTCGACGATTTAGGCCTTTTTCAGTCACCAAAACGGCTGCAGGCCTTCTTCCACCTACACTGAGTGCACCACATATCACGACGCTCCATGCCATACACTTTGCGACATTTCTTATTCTCGCCTCTGGTACGGCGATTCGGTGAGTTGGGCGTTTGCCGATTAGCATGTTGCACAGCAACATGTTGTTGGTGGTGTACATGGCCCGTCGCCGTGGTGGCAGTGGACGACGGTGAACAATTAGGGTTATTCGATGCAACCATTCTGTTGCTGGCAGTGGCTGTTGGCGAATGTTGCAAATGATGTTGTTGATGCTGCTGCGGTTGCTGATGGGCAAGGGTGTGTTGTTGGTGTTGAGGATGTTGGTGCTGCTGTTGCAGCTGATGTGTTTGGTGGGTATCTTGACCGCCATTGGTACCCCTTGCCCCTCGCACTTGTGTATAATTTGGAGTAATTGTAACCGTTGCCATCTGCTGTTGTTGCTGCTGCTGTTGTTGGTTCTGGTGGTGATGATGACTGTTGCTGTGATGTGTCGTCACAGTGACGTTCTGTTGTGACAACTGTTGTAGCACACTGTTGGCACTATTATTGTGGTGAACTATGGACGCATTTGTCACATTATTCGGGCTGGCTGGCGCCGGACTACTGTAGTTGTGATGTTGATTGACATATGTTGGCGATGGATATGGCGCTGCTGTTTGGGACGGACGTGGTGAGGCCCGGGCATGTTTGATGAGTTGTGGTGACGCCGTTGATTGTTGTTGTTGTTGCTGCTGCTGTTGTTGTTGTTGGTGGTGGTGTTGCTGATGATTGTGATAATTATTTGGGGCAGCATTATTTGAGGTGTGAGTAATGGGCGATGTTGTCATCACTGTTGTGGCTGTAGCCGGTGGCCATGTGTAATTGTGATGGGCCAACGGTGACGTTGGTATACAACTGGTATTGTTATTGTGTAGTTGCTGTTGTTGGCTACTGCTAATATGAACTGTCTGGCCATTCACGTGATGTATATTTCTGCCGTTTATGTGTTGCTGTTGGGCAGCAACACGTCCTTGTCTGTCAGTAAAACAAGAAAAAAATTAATTATTTGGCCTACCACTAATCTATTTTGTAACTGGAGAGACTTACTTAAAATTCCCAACTAATTGTCTTTGGTATTCGGGATCTTCATGTGGCGGACGAGCCATGTCACGGTGGCTAAGTGTTGGGGGTGATGTTGGACTAGGAGTTTTGCAGTCATCATCATCATCTTCGACTTCTGTGTAGTAGAAATCCTCTTCATGACTATCACTGTCGTGACTATCGCTATCTACATGATTTGCTGTGCGTTTTGCTTTTTTGCTGCTGAAATGAAACAGAAGAACGTTAATTGACTATACACGACATATGATTAATATGTTTTGAAATTAAATTCTTTAAGGAATTTTATTTAATTTTAACTCTCAATCAATAAAATGTTCTCTTTTGTGTATTGTATGGTCACATTGTGATATTTTGTGTTTCGGTCAGTTTATGGACGCAAATATGTAGTATATGTTTTGACAAGGTCTTACCTAGAAAAACAATTTGTACTGACCATGATAATTCAAACTAACGGTCTGATTGGCGTTGCCAATGTCCCACATATGGCAATACCACGCGAGTTACCAACACTTGATGAAAATTCACATTGAGCAATCGTTATCGGAACAACGGAACCAACGACGAAACAAAAGATAATGTGGGAATCAAAAAAAAGTCGAATGTCGACCTACGTACCCCTAGACGGTTCCATTAAAATAAGCTTTTTTTGTGAAGGAAATGCATTAGTACCAATCAACTGGGGAGAAAAAGTGTTAAAATATTAATGGGAGAAGGCAGTAAACAACAAAAATTGCATTCGTGTGTGAATTATTTAACTATCTTAATGAAAGCCTTGTGATATAACAAAAACAAAAGACATAGACAGCTCAGCACATCAACGCCAGAAAATTTGCAAAGTCTAACTGCGAAACGTGTTAGTCGTCGTTCGTTACAGCAAAAACAACATCAACAAATACACAAATACCAAACGCGGCCAGGCACCAATTCACAAAGTGTAGCGAAATAGTTAAACAAGGCCGCGCGGAAACTTTAATAAAGAAGAGAAAAGACTGCTGCTCTCTATCCCTAGAGAAAATTTCCATTCTTTTTGGCACTTGTGAAACAACACCATAAAGATTCCCCTCTACCACTACCACACTAACTCATACACACATTCTCATGAATTGCATAGTATAAGAAGACATAACCCCTAAAAATTGGCAAGCAAACAATAGAATATACAGGACATCGCATTGGTAAGTCTGGTTGAATCCCAAGCGCTATCATTAAAAATATATGTGTAAATGTACGCGTTGCATTTTATAGAACCACAATTTTGCTCTGAATTCGTGAAAACAGCCAGGAGAAAAGAAAAAAACAAACAAATCGTCGTTGTGGTGATTGTAGTCAAAGTCAATTATTACACTTAAGATCAATTTATCCGTACAACACAAACCATATACCCAGTGAAAAAAGAAAACTGAGCTGAACCAAAACAAAACAAAGAACAAAGAAAGATGTCTTCATCGAATACTAACAGTTCATCTGCCTCTTCGACTTCTACGTCTAATGCCGCCAGCTCAACGAACAATGCCATTGTGCCTGTCGCATCCACCAATTTCGCTGCTCTGATGTCGTCGTCTTCAACGTCGGTGCTCAGCGCGAGTGGCACTTGTAGCTTCAATGGTGTGCTAATTAGCGAAATCCTCGATGAAAATGTTTTGGAATTCCGACCTAAACATAAGGGGGCGTGTTCATTAATATGCAGCTATGATTCGCAAGGTGTACTTATTAAAATACCTTTGGGTAAGTGAATGAAGAGTAATTGGATTTATGTTATAATTTTATTAATTCTAATTTGATATTTAGATTCACCTACTTCATCAAATACTATAAAGGAATATTTGCTAACATCCGACACTGATTGTGCACAGGTTGGTCGGCAAACATTTGCAGTTTCCTTCGATAATGACAACTACATTCTTAGATTCCCCTCGGAACAAGGTAACTTGTAGACTGAAATATTTTCCTTTAAGATATTTAACACATTGCATGGATTTTTAGAACAACTAAGGTTCCGAAAACTAATAGATCATGTCAAAAGACTGCGACCAAAGTCAGTATTCTCACAACGAACAGAAGAGTCTTCCGCATCACAGTATTTTCAATTCTATGGCTACTTGTCGCAACAACAAAACATGATGCAGGACTATGTTCGTACTAGCACCTATCAAAGAGCCATTCTGGGAAATGCTATGGATTTCCACGTAAGATTGAAGGGTCAACGATTATTAATCTTATTTAACTGACAAACGTACGTTCTTTTTACAGAATAAAATCGTTTTGGATGTTGGTGCTGGTTCGGGCATACTTTCTTTTTTCGCTGTTCAAGCTGGAGCTGCAAAAGTTTATGCCATTGAGGCTTCCAATATGGCTCAGTATGCCCAACAATTGGTGGAATCGAATAATGTGCAAGACAAAATCTTTGTTATGCCTGGCAAAATAGAGGAAATTGACTTGCCCGAACAGGTCGATGTGATCATTTCAGAACCCATGGGTTATATGTTATACAATGAACGTATGTTGGAAACTTATTTGCATGCACGTAAATGGTTAAAACCAAACGGAAAAATGTTCCCAACACATGGTGATTTACACGTTGCTCCGTTTTCGGATGAGGCTTTGTATTCAGAGCAGTATAATAAAGCCAATTTCTGGTACCAATCAGCATTCCATGGCGTCGATCTGACAGTACTTCATAAGGAAGGTATGAAGGAGTATTTCCGTCAACCCATAGTGGATACCTTCGATATTCGCATATGCATGGCGAAATCGGTACGTCATGTCTGTGACTTTATGAGGGACAACGAGAACGATTTACATAATATTGGTAGGTTAACACCATTAAACACAAGCGATGGATAATAATTGTTCTATTTATGCAGATATCCCCTTGGAATTCCACATTTTACAAACTGGTATTTGCCATGGTTTGGCATTTTGGTTTGATGTTGAATTTTGCGGTTCCAGCCAGCAGGTTTGGCTGTCCACCTCCCCTACAGCCCCGTTGACACATTGGTACCAAGTGCGTTGTTTGCTGCCCATGCCCATTTTTATCAAACAGGGACAAATTTTAACTGGTCGTGTTCTGCTCGAAGCAAACAGGCGTCAATCATATGACGTAACCATAGATTTACACATTGAAGGCACATTGATATCGTCTAGCAATACATTAGATTTGAAAAACCCATATTTCCGTTATACTGGCGCTCCAGTGCAAGCACCACCCGGCACTTGTACACAAAGTCCTTCTGAACAATACTGGTCTCAATTAGACGCTCAAGGCCAACGTACAAGTGAGCATAGTTTCACCAAATAGTTTATCGATAGATTTTTGCTTTTGTAAACATAACAATATTTTTTCGTTTTGTTTATTCTTATGTTATTGTAGCTGGCATGGTTAATGGCATGGCTGTTAATGGCCTCACCGATGTTTCTATGGACATTTCTCATACGCTTATGCATCATCCTCAGTCGTAAATGTAGTCCACAACAAGAAGCAAGAAAGCAACCTACTAACAATCAATCACTACAACCCTACTCACTCCATTTTACAAGCATAAACAAATTTGTTTCCCTGAAAAGCCCCTAAAAGGCCCTGCATTATATTTTAGAACAGCAAAACACACACATATACACCACACTTCTCCATATTTTAGTTTAAGCCCAAACTTTAGATGTTTTAATTTTTTTTACCTCTACAAAACGTATATATTTTTTTACAAATATTTAGAAAAATTTTTGTTTATGTTTAAATATTTATTCCATTAATTTTTTACTTTGTTACCGCACAGACAACTTTTTCGCAAATACATTCTCGAAATTTAATTTTACCAAGTTCAAGAGAATAGAATTACTGTTTATGTTTAATGTTGTAATTTTGAGAAATAATCATTTTGTTTTCCTTTGTATTTTTTGAGGTCACTATTTTAAAACTGTCTTTTCTTCTGTATTGTCATTATGTTGCTTTATCTTTAGTTTTTTGCTTTTATAAATAAGACAAACTCAAAATTATTTAAGGAAAAAAAAAAAACAAAAATAAAATTCCCAAATTTTTTTGCCATGGCAAACAATATTCGAAAAAGGACTTGTTATATGAATTCTGATTTAGGTGAAACTTGGCTAAATGTCTAGAAATAAAATAATTTTAAGTGCTGCTTTAAAAGTAAATTGCTGTTGGAGGAATCTAGATTTATTGTATATTCATGCCTAGTATTAGAACAAAATTTTGGATTTTGTGAAGTTGATTCGAGAAACTTACCCATTGTTCAAACGGGGTTACCTAAATTTATTGGCTTAAATTAAACAAAGTCTTAATGTTCGTAGAAACATTAGAAATAAATTGAAAACAAATTAAAAGCATTTTTAAAAAGAATAATTGAGATAAATTTTCCTATGACTGCAGCAATTAGTTTTTAATTTATTTTATGTTTGTTTACTCTATTTTGTTAGCGATCGCGTTTCAAATGTCTAAAAGCCAAAATCCAGCTGCCTGACTATCCCGCTCTATATATATATATTGATATTGTAAATGTCATATGTCTTAGCTAGGATATATAATTTATATATAAACATACAAACGAACACAGCCATTATTATTTAATTTAGTTTTTTTTTTTAGTTTTAATTGTAAGCTAAAGGATTAACTTTGGATTGCTGGTGGTAGATTTCAAGAACGTACACCAATTCAGTGTTATTTTGAGAAATCTGCTATGATTTGCCTTCTTATAATTTAAGATTAGAAATGTAATAAACTAATTACAATGGGATGCATTTGTTTGTTTTAGTTTAACCTGAGATTATATTTATTATTTTAAATTTATAAGTTAGTCTAGAATAAGAAGCGGGCAGAGGTGGATAGATGGACAAGTGGATTTTGTAACAAACCGTAGGGACTCTAGAAGTTATATTATTTACCCTAATTTAAAAAAAAAAACATCTCTATTTACAAAAGAAATAAATTAAGTCCAATTCTTATAGAATGGTAAAAATACACTTCGTTAGACGATCGATCTTCTTATTATAATTGTACCCAAATTAACAACAAACGAAACAATAATACAACTTGTACTAGAGTGTAGTGTTTTTGCTATATATACTCCAAACTACCACCTATATACATTGCATATAGTATATTTGCAAAGAAATAATAATAATAATATTGCAAACTCAAAAACAAAAACAAAAATCATATTAAAGAAAGAAGACAACAACAAAAATATATATTGTTTGAATTATTGTAGATGAATAGACCGACACGACGATATGTTGGTTGGGGTGGTGCGGATTTTAAACGCTTTCGAAACCTTGGCCCACTGTCCTGATTTCATGTTGCGCAAGTATGTATGTGTGCGCGTTAACTGCTAACCGGTGCTTTGCAAAAAAAAACAAGCCAAACAAACACAAATTTACGAAAGGCCAAACTAACCTACTTTCACAGTAACTAGAACACTGTACCGCCTTTTGTTTTCTGTTCGGTTCTAGCTGTAAGCATCCTGTTTAGAGTTCTTCGTCGTCATTCAATTGTACAAAATTAACAAAAAAGACAAATTACACTTCGTACATTTTCTCGGCAAGGAAAAAAAGTTGCGCGGGCGCATTTTGTGTCGGTCAAGGCAATTGTGTTTTGTTCTGGGCGATTGCTTTGCCAATGCTCAAGGCTCAAGGTTGTGAATGCATGTAATTAAAATGAAGCTAACAAAAAAATTGTGGGCCGTGAAGTGCCTTATGAATGAAGGCATTGTAGTTCCTGTGGCGAATGGAGAATGTCTTTGTCGTTAAATGATTACTTAAATTCGCAAAAGTATCACTTATTGATTGAGTTAACATTTTTTCTAAGGGCTAACATGATTCGTCCATAAAAGTTTTCCAATTTTTATTTTAAAATTAATTAAAAACCATTTACTTACTCAAGATGGACCATACGTATGTGACGTTCAATCTTTGCTTTTGTATGCTCAATAATGGTGCAGCGTTTCCAGGTACAAACAAATTTTGTCTTATTGGCCTGAAAGAAACAAAAAAACAAGAACAAAACAATTCGATTAGAAAAAATGAAAAATTAAATGAATTGCAATTGTTTAAAGGACCTACTTTGCACCTACTAAATCTGGGATACACTTTCATTCTGATTGATAATTTAATAACTGGCGCTTTTGATGTTACCAAAAATATTTAAAAATTATAAAAATAAAAACACCATTTTCGAGTTTTTGCAATAAAAACCGGTGCGTGGCCGGTGCCAGATACAAATGAAACATGGCGATGAAGCGGCGGTAAATCCAATGCAAGGTTCGGTGTTACGTTTTTAAGCGCCATCATGTGTATAACGGTTACAACGAAAGGATGCCGACTTGAAACGATGACGAAAACTCACTTGTTAGCTCGCTCGTTCGCTTACTTACTCACTCACTCACTCGCTCGCTCGCTCATTTACTTGGGTGCAGTTGCAGCACAAAACGTCGCGTTGTAACGGCCAACAACAAGAACACGGCACAATACAAGTTTGCAATGTTGCTGGCGCGCGCCAAGAGATGAGTAACAGGCCAAACTCTTTACTTTTACATGACTGCGATGTTGACTGCGGTCGGTTGGTCGTTCGGTCGGTCGGTCGATTGGCAGTAGGGTCGTGCCAACCATTACCCATCACCTGTATGTCCTTGTGCCTTGCACATGCAAGAGCTTCGTTATAATGTCGTTGAAGAGGAAAAGTGAAATTGGCACGAGGTCATTTTAAAAAGTAAAGCAAAAACAAAAATAACACATAATAGAAAATATTCTGCTACTGCTGCTATTTCTGCTGCAGATGGTGGTATCCATGGACAACTTTGAATTGCAATAGCAAAATGCCGACGAAACGACCATTTTACAAACAATATACATGGATGTTGTATATAGCTATGCACAAGCGTGTGTCCGCATGTATGTGTATAATCTCAGTTTGAATGCTAAATGCATAAGCCCTAGTTTGTGAAGGATGTACATATGTAAACTAGTTATGTATTGTTGCCTGTGACCTACTTTTCGATTTGAAGAAGACTTGAAAAGTGGGTCGACATAAATGTGATTCTCAAGATGTAAATAACCATTAGAAAGAAACTGACTATTGGGTTGACAACAGTCTGTTGGGTGTGGGGGCAAAGCGCAATTAATTGCAAGCAGCTATGCTTCAAATAAAAACCAAAATTATGCACATCTTTTTGGTATTTTTAAAGGGCACAAATGTAGCCTTGACATATATTTTGCGGATATTTCTATTCATTTGTGGGGCATAGTTTCCTTCTCTAGGTATAATTTCAAAATCCAAACAATTTAGAGAATTTTGATTGCAACTTATTATTTGAGATAATAATAATTTTGAGACTTATTTCAAAGTGTCTTTGGTTATATTTGAATGTATGTGTGTGCGTGTGTGTTTGTAAAGGAGTGATGCATCCAATACACAACGAAATATGTTTTTATGTCCCACTAACCTAAATGTACTACATGTGTGTGTGTGTGACCTGTACACTCGAACACACAACCTCTTATTTCTCGCTCCCAAAAGCATGCTATACTTTTTGTGTGGTTAGACCTTTGCAGCATATCTTCTGCAATGCTTTGCAGTTTTTTAACTTCTATTGTGAACCTTTTTCCGTTGTGTTTTTTTACTGGCGGCAAAGTTGACAGTTTGTTGTTGTGTTTTTGTTAGGCGAATTTAAAATTGTTGTTGTTAATATTTTAGTTGACACAAAATCGTTGTGTGATGAGGAGATGACCCAGATCTTTGAGATTATAGTGTTGTTTTTTTATAGCAAGGGCTATGTGGGCCGAGTTTTGTAGGCGTTATTGTTGTTCGTGTAAAACTGTGTCAATGCAATTTGAAACATATTTCAGGGTTAAGTAATTTTGTGTTTCTTTGAGTGTGGGATTGTTTTAGGTAAATGATTTACTTAGGAATGGAAAATGACAAATAAGGAATAATATCGTCACATCAATAATAGGATCTTATTCGATTTATGGGCTGAATATAACCTACGTTACATAAAACATAATGGATTCATACTTCCACACGCTCACAAGTTTTATGCGACCAAAAATGCATTTCTGCACTGATGTTATAAAATATTGAAAGTGGTACCTGAGTGCGTATGATGATTGGAGACTATAGGCTGAGATTCAAGTAATATTGATTATACGCCAAAATATTTAAATAAAAAGGTAAAGCTTTATTTTACAAGTACACCTTTTGATATAACACGGTTTGAAAATTGAATATTTTTAATTTTTTTTACACTATTTTATTCCATTTAGCACGATTTGAAATTTTATGTACTTAAATTTTTTGTCAAATTTAATTTTTGCGAAGCTGGTCAAAGCAAATGTGAATAGCACTAATTTAGGGGAATTACCTTTATGTGCATACAATAAAATTTACTGGTCAGAGCAATTGAAACGTGTTAATATTTTGTGAACTGTCAATGCAATAAGACGTGTTTGGTAAAAAAAAAATAAAAAAAATTAAAAATTCTTGTTTTTCACTAATTTTAATAGGTTTTAGAGATTAGGAACAAATCACCCATTTTTGTATAAGATCAATGTCTATTTTACACGGCTTCTTCTGGAACCAATCTACCGTGTAAAAACAGACTTAGGTGTATACAGACTTTTACCACTCTTTCAGGCAAAGATAAAAATCTCATAAGTTCGAAGTGTCAAACTTGGGAGATCTTTGGGGTCGGTACAATTTTCCAAAATAATATATAGCAAATAGTAGACCATTCAGTTGGAAAAAGTAATTAGGACATCGAAAATACAGGTGACCATCGTTATATGAAGTTATTTTTGTATAATATCAATGGGTTAAACACCATTGAATAGACAAAATATTAAATATTTTACTTCTTCAAGCGATATTGGTAGAGCTTTTGCTGGTTGAATATATGGTTCGCGAAAGAACCCCGAAACGTTAAATTACAACTAATTGTTTGGCAAAAGCTTCGGAGGGATCCAAAACAAGTAAAATCGAGAGGACTTGAATTATGGTAGCATTTGGAAGGCAGCATTTTTTGAAAACTGTTTTGTAGCTAATGAACCCTAAATATCAAATTACAGTTTTAAATTGAGTCTGAAAATTTTCGTTAAATTTCCGTTAAATCACGAATATGGTTAAAAATGGGCCCATATTTTTTATAACAAATATCGTATGAGTAATAACAATGTCCATGCAAAATATCACAACTCCATAGTGATTACAACATACGGGCATGACAAAATCGATGTCTCTACGGTTTCTCCAGAAATCTTTGAGAAGTGTTGCAAAATAAATGGTGATATTAATACCATCCAAACAACTTAAAAACAATCAATATTATAACTACAATAGCTTTTGATTTTGAACCATTCATCCAGACCTGTTTTTATTATTTAAGGGATTAAAATAAATTAAAACGATTTGACTTAAGTCCATGCGTTCCCCTTTTATTACAAAGCCTTCGATATTATATTTATTTTCGTTGACAACAAAGAGAAATGCCATAAGAGGGAGGGAGGGCAGTTCTGAATTATAATAAAAACCCTTAGCCTGTGGTTAATTGCCAAGATAGGAAGTGGAAAGGAAAAAGCTTTGTTAGGTTCGATTTATGTTTCTTCTTTGTCATCATATACATAGGCCGCAGGAATTTCAATTAGTTTTTCCTTGGGGAATGAAATGCCATTATTGATGTTCTTTTCAAATCAGAGGTTATAGATTGAATTCAATTCACAGGTACATTATTTGGTTAAATGGAAGTGTGTGTATTTTGTATATCTTTCTGGTGTCACAGGTTAAAATCATATTTCATGCTGTTTATCTAATTCTGTGAATATATGAGGACCTCTGTTAAAATTAAGGAAATATGTCAAATAAATATAATAGAATTTAAATCAAATACAATGATATCTCGAAGCTTTCTTAACATTTGATGATTTAAATAATTGAAGATATCGACTTTAGTCTTTATGTTTGAACAACAATGTCTTAAACTTACTGTCTTTTTTTTTTTGTATGACGATATGAAAGTGAAAGCGCCAAAAATGGACTACCCAACAAGCTTATAAAAATATTGAGTGTTTGAGTTGAATCAAAAATTTCGTATCGATTACAGAAACAGTGCCTTAAAGTTTACAAATGATACATGCTCAGGACTAATAAGTGAATTTTATTAGATGTTGTAGAGAAAAAAAAATCCCACACAAAATAAACTACTTCAAGTTACCCCCACATAGTGGAGTTGAAACAAAAAGGAAGACATCAATTGACCAATCATGAAGTCCTTTTAACTTTGTTCAGCATATTTTCGCTTATTTCCCAACTCCGCTTTGTGTAGGAAAGCTTTTATGCCAATTATGTTGCCAGCCATCTGCACACTTACTCACATACATATGTACATGATAGCCTATATAGGCTTCCAACAATATCTGGCCCAAATCCTTTTACATACACAGTAGCAATGACATATGTGTTTACGTGCCGTATGTCCACTAAGTTCCGTATAACGGGCAATGTGTTTCTGGTTTCCTTGAAGTATTTTGTTACTTGGCTTTGATCTTTATTTGTCGCAATGAGTGACAATGTGGGTACACACATATACAAAGGTACGTTTGAATGTGTGTTCAAATCGTATACTTTTACTTGAATTGTATTTGAAATTTCACATATGGTCTTATGGTTCATATGTATGTATGTATGTGTGTAAGTGATGCTATTTCACTTTTCCTGCTTGTTATTGTTTTGTTCTTCTTTGAACATACTTCACTTTCTACGACCATCCAGCCATTCATCCCCATTTGTGTATGTCAATGCTGCGTAAGGAAGTCTTGTACACAAAGATGTTGTGTTTTAAACCTAAAACAACTGCCAGAGCTTGCATTTTATATATACATGTAGTATGTGAAGAGAAAACAACAACATCCTGGGGAAAAGTGGGAAAAAGAAGGACCACAAGGAACATTAGTTTGGAGTTATAGCAAAAGTTAGAAATTAGGTCA